CTATCCTTTCTCTGATGCTGGCCTGCAGTCCCAAAGCCAGGCAGTGAATCCGCCAGCTGCTCCATGGCAGATGGACAGGCTGTCTCCTCCCATGCAGTTTACTGCCTCTGAAAACACACTGGAGAGTCAGTTATGGGTGTCTTCTGAATCAATGGCACACAACAAGAACAATCCCTCATGTTTGTAAACTTAAAATTATAACTATTAGAGAGAAGAGATTAGGCAAAGAGGTATGGGAAGAAAATGTTAGGTCAAGTTAAGTACTATTTAAAAATATTATCTTTTCACAGAAAGTTAAATGAGCATTTTTTTAAAAACTTCTTGGAGGGCACTTTGTGGCCTAATGGCAAGAAGATGCACTGTATTCCCAGAGGTATGTGATTTGAACCCACCAGATGCTCTGCTGGAGAAGGGCAATCTCCTCCTGTACCAGTCAGATCTGATGTGATGGTTCACACATAAAAAAAATAACATAATAAAAAAATAAAGACTTCTTGGCTATACAACAGGTGTTGTGGTGCTGGAGAAGAGTACTGTATACCCCATGGAATGCCAACAAAATGATCAGATATGTCTTGGGAAAAGATAAGAAGGAGTGCTTTTTGGAGGCAAGGATGGCAAAGCTTTTTCTCTCATACTTTAGAAATGTTGCTAGATATCCCTTGGAAAGGGACATCATGATTGGAAAGGTCAGCAAAAGAGAGGAAAAGGCCCAAAGAGGTGGTTGATACCATGACTGATACAATGGGCTCAAACATATCAGAGATGATGCAGATGGCACAGGATAGGACAGGGTTCATATATGTTGTTTGTAGGCTTGCCATGAGTCATACTTGACAGCAGTTAACAACAACAACAAAATGTATTAGCAATACAAGTAGACAAAATGTTATGTTATATTACAAGTAGGCATTTGTCCATTCCAAAGCCTGTTCTCTCTCTTTTTTGTAAATTTTTATTGTGATTTGAGTGAAAGTTTATAGAATAGATTTGTATTTTTACAACAATTTATAGATGCCAATTTGGAGACTAAGGTCCAGGCCATAATCTTCACATTTACTTGCTATATGTCAGAAAGCTGGACTGTGACTAGGGTGATAGAAAGAGAATTGATACCTTTGAGTTGTGGTGCTGGAGAAGAGGATTGAATAAACCATGAACTGCCAGGAGAACAAACAGGTTTGTCCTAGAGAGAGTGAAACCAGGCTGCTCTTCGGAGGCAAGGATTCTGGGGCTCCATCTGACATAGTTTTTGCATGTTGCAAGGAGAAACCAATCCTTAGAGAGGGAACATCATGGTTGGGAGGTAGGAGAGAGAGCACACGAGAGGAGCCTGGATGAAATGGATTGATTCAGTGACTGGGGTAACGTGGGCAAGTGTGTCAGAGACAATAAGGTTAGCACAGGATAGAGCAGGTTTCAGGGCTATTGTACATAGGTCACTATGAGTCACAAGCAACTTGAAGATACTTAACAACAACAACACAGCAATTTGTAGCTTTGTATTTCCTGGAACTCTGTTCTTTGCATCCACTCTTAACGGTTTTCTCTATTGTCTATAGTTTTTCTCAAATGAAATTCACAGTTTGAAGACTAAATGAAGTGGACTTAATCTCTTTCATTTTCTAATTATTCTCTTAAGTAGTAAGGAGAAATGGAGAGAGTGAGAGTGTAATGTCATATTGTGTTTTGTTGTGTTTGACTGTTATTCATATTTTCAAGGTTTCCAACTGAGAAAGATAACAAAAAGACATTTATTTCATATTCACATTCCAAGCATTAATAAGGTCTTTCTCAAGGAGGTTGACCTATTTCCAAAAGAGTGGGTCTTCGTTTTCTTGCAGAATCTGGATTTTCATTGCCGAGTGCTTACTGCTCCCTGATATCTTTTCAGCTAAAGGTCTCTAAAGAGTGTTCTTAATGCTGTGGTTGCATAAGGTCTCTCATAGATAACAAGAGGTGGAAATGATGTTTGTATTAGCCCCATAACTCTTCCTTGAGAACAAAGAGGCAGTCTGAAGGATGGGTTCCTTGATATAATGATGTCTCAAAAGATTTCTTTCCTGAAGGCAGGTCTTGAAGCTGTTAGCAGAGGACCAATTAACAGGGGTTATGTCTCTCCATTACCCAGGAGGACAGTTATTAATGTTCTGCATGGTTTGAATTACTCATTCTTTCTCATGAATCATACTCTTAAGTCTTCTATAAGATGACATGAGGGAAGTTCAAAAGCATTTAAGCCTCCTTCTTTCATAGCTGTTTCATTTCTAAAGGAGATGGAGACAAACACTGCTCACAGTGGTGACGGTCTGGGGAATTCTCTGAAGCTGTAAGAAGGAATATCTGATCATCTTTTTTTTTTTTAATAACTCATTAGACCACCAACTGGCTTACAAGAGATCAGTTTTAAGAACTCTTAGGTGAGCTATTTAGTATTGCCAAAGACCTGGGGTACAGGAATAACTCAAAAGATTTTCTAATATCTCAGTATCATTGTCTGTAAAGACATAAGGGATTAGGTCTCATAATGGCTCTTTTCACATGAAGAATACGCCTGTTGAAAGATAGTCTAAAAGACAGACTCTGTCAATACACTTTAAGACAAATAGAAGCTGAAAACCTCTAGTTTTTTAACTGTTTAAAGGGATTTTATAAAAATAGACCTAAGATAATTGCTATATATTAATGTTTTGAGACCTCTACTCTTTTTTTCTAATTTTTATTTTAGCATTTTTGTGTGAGTGTACCGTCAAATCAGATCTGACTGGTACAGGAAGAGATTGTCCCTCCTTCCCCGGCAGAGCATCTGGTGGACTCGAACCGTGTGCCTCTGGGATTGTACTTGCAGCTCCTTGCCACTAGGCCACCAGAGCTCCTGAGACCTCTACTCTTTAAAAGGTTTCAAATGTCAGTTTAGCCAGTGTAGAAGATACACCATTTCTTTTTTCTTTTTTTCTCTTGGCTTCTTTTATCATCATTATTATTAATTTTAAGGAAAATTTACAGGACTTTGGATTTCCATTCATTCATTTTTGCACTTTTATCCCTGCCCACCCCTTCCCCCATTTCTTACTATGTGGATCCAACCCATAATATGCCAGGGTCTATTGGAAGTGAGGAACCATATGTTAAGAATAAATGTAACGCTTGGCCTTCTTATCTGAAAATTTATTCTTATTATAACTGTTAGACAAAGATATGCAAATTTTTTTTTCTTGTTTTACCTACATTCTAAACTTTTCCAAAACCAGCTGGATCCATTTGTACTAGATGTACAAGGGTTGTTGCTCTTGCTCTTAATTAACCAAGTGTAACTCGTGGTCAATCCTTGTCTTAAAGAGCAGGACGGCTCTATGTTTCTATTCCTCTCTTTACTGTAAAGTTAATGTAAGAGGATTATCATGAAGTGTGTTGTTTTTTAGTTCTTTGGTACTGCTGAGTGAATCAGAACCATCAGACTTTAGCTTAGCCATAAATACAACTGATTATAACACTGAAGGATATATAAACCATTTGCTATTGAGTTGATTTTGTCTTCTGATGACTTTGTATTGTAGACTAGCCTGCTCCATAAAGTGTGTGTGTGTGTGTGTGTGTGTGTGTGTATGTGTGTGAGGTGAATATTTACAAGGCAAATTATATTCCTCTTTAAAAATTTTCATACAAATTTTCCTTGCCATTGGTCATAATTTTACCTTGTGTCAGCATTCTCATTATGTCTAGTCTGTTTTCTGTATTTCCACTGACGTAGCTTCCGTTTCTCTGCTCGCCTTGTCCCCATTATTTTTGGGTAACTATTGACCTATTGATCTCATGTAGTTGATCACTTCAGGGAGCACGTCAATACTCGTGGGTGCTGCCATTTACTCTACAAGTTAATCTATTATTTGGCTGAAAGATGACTTAACACCAGCTTCAATTCCCATATTCAGTGTTCATCATAAGGTCACTGTCTCAGGAGTTCTTCTAGTCTCTACTCATCCAATAGGGCTGACTGCTTTTAGAAATTTGAGTCCCCTTCTGTATTTTTCTTCCAGGCAATCTAAAAATCTTCCATCATGTCTCCAGGTGTCACCTCATTCTTTTGGTTTCGGTTTAGGCGAGGTTGTGACTCGTTTTGTCTTATGTTTTAGTTTGCATTTTGAGCTTTTATTTCCTTCCTTCTTCTTTTTCTAGACAATTAGAGACCAGTAATAGTATTTGAGATGACAGCTTGTAAGCTTTGATGACTCCAGGCATTGCTTACCACGCGAGAGTGGAGCACATGATTTTTATGATCTGTGTTAAGTGTAGAGACTAAGTTGTTTCCAGAGACTCTAGTGTCAAGAACTTTTAATCCCACAAACCAGTCTTATGATCTGTTTTGATGTGGCTTAGATATCTCAACAAGATGCATTGACACAATGACTGAAGCAACAGGCTCTAGATTGTCAGAAATTATGAGGATGACACAGGGTTGGATAGGGTTCAGATCTGTTGTAGGGTCATTATGAGTCATACATGACTCAATGGCACATAGCAACATCCATGCTGCAAGGCGTTTGTATGTGTAAAATTCTCACTCTTTACAATTCAATATTCTTCTGCAATCATATGAGACCCTGCTGTGGGATCTTGGGGGCAAAAAACAACATGTAAGAGATTGTTTATCTTTCTCCATGAAGTGAATGATGGGTTGGAACTAACAGAGAGGGATCAATTTTGGCTTAACAGCGCAACTCCATATAGACTGCTCCGCCAGGGCTTGACCTTTTCTGAGATAATGCAACAATGATGGTCATTCACTGTCATTTGCCCAGAACCGAAGTAGAACATCTATCCAAGAGAATTGTCAACTAAATTTGTCAATTGTTTATATAAAGCAGAGAATAATCCAACATCCGTGATTTAAATCTGTGTAGTTAAATACATGGACTAAATACTGGATGTTTCTTTTTGTTTCAGTGGAAAAAAGTAATTTCTGACTCTCATCTTCGTTTTTTTAAAGAGCTTTTTAGCAGATGGCCTCAAGCAAGTCCATGGAATGGAACGGAAACCACTCCTCTGTGGCCGTGTTCATCCTCCTGGGTCTCTCAGGTGACAAGGAGCTGCAGCTCATCCTCTTCCCGATATTCCTAGGAATCTATCTTGTGACTCTCATCTGGAACTTGGGCCTCATCTTCCTGATCAGGATGGACCCCCACCTGCACATACCCATGTATTTCTTTCTCAGTGTACTGTCATTCATCGATGTTTCCTTTTCTTCTTCTATCAGCCCGAGGATGCTTGCAGATTTCTTCCAGGATGAAAAGACAATTTCCTTCCTTGACTGTGCTGTTCAGTATTTTATCTTCACCTGGATGGGTATCTCTGAGTGCTGTCTCATGGCTGTGATGGCCATAGATCGATATGCAGCCATTGGCAAGCCTCTGCAATACTCAGTCATTATGTCTCCTGGCGTCTGTGGGAGGATGGTTGCCGGGGTCTACACCACGGCTTTTCTTAGTAGCTTAGCTCAAACCATCTCTTGCTTTAGTCTCTACTACTGTGGTCCGAATGTCATTCAGCATTTCTTCTGTGACTTTCCTCAGATTATTCCCCTGTCTTGCTCTGATTCCTTCATCAGTGAAACAATTCTTCTTCTGGCAGCTATTTTTTTTGTCTTTGGCTCCTTTCTTGTTACTCTCTTGTCCTATGGTTTTATTGCAGTTTCCATCTTGAATATGTCCTCAGGTAAAGCTAGTGCGAAGGCCTTTAATACCTGTGCCTCCCACCTGACAGCTGTGACGCTTTTCTTTAGCACAGTCCTCTCCGTGTACATGCGCCCCAACTCCAGTACAGTCACCAAACAGGACAAGGTGCTATCGGTCTTCTATGCAATCGTTATCCCCATGTTAAACCCTCTGATTTATAGTTTGAGAAACAAGGAGATCAAGGCTGCCATCAAGAGGGCTATAAAGAAAGCAAAGTGTTAACCTCAAGAAGAATGAGATTTGAAAAAGGATTATTATCATGGGTATTAGTGTGGAGGTAAGAATGTGTAAGTTATCCTGTGTAGGTAAAATGATCAGGTAGAAAGCAAGAAAAGGGAAAACTTGACTTAACGTCTTGCTGATCGCATCATAGTTTGGTATCACCACCAAGAGATCTAACTGGGACCATGGTACCAATGTTAAATGTGATTTTAAAAAAGGCACTTGTCATGATGAGATTCCAGTAAATGAATATCTAAAAGGTGATTCACTTTGAGAAGTTCTGATATACAATCCAAGTACAAAAATCTCAGGAACCCAGAAAGCCACGTCCTCTATTTATTTTTTCCTAAGATTTATTCATGTCTCATAATTGTTTGATATTTATTCCACTAAAATTTAAATATATCATTTAAATATGTGTAAAATTTAAAAAAATTATCATTTAAATTTAAAAAAATTATGAATGTGTCCTTTATAATCTGGGCCCAAACAGAGGAGAGAAGTGTATAGAATTTATGTGGATTTGCTTCCAAGGAACCTTATTTCTTCCAATTTATTTCTCAAGTCAATTGAAGATATTGAATTTTAGAAAAATATAGGTGATATATGAAGGATAGCAGAATGTGAAAACCTTTGGATTCAAGAGCCAGTGAGTTCCTCAGATGCCAGAATATAGTGAAAGAATTTATAGACAGAAGTAGCCTTCTGAGCACTGTAAGAACCCCTGAAATGATAACTCTTAAGATGTTTCCAAGGAGAGAGAACCCAAGTTGTAGAGATATGAATCTTCCTGCGATTCTATGATCTTTGTATTGGCAAGAGATTCTCATACTCACCAGAGGTTCATAGTCGAATTATGTCATTTAAAAAATAGATCTTTTTTTTTTATACTGGAGTTTATGGACCTAGTTTCACATACACTCCATTAGCATTAATCCAATACTTTCCCCATCAAATAGTTCTATAACAGATTCGATTTAATCGATCCCATTGTGAAATGCAAAGGCAAAGATTCATACCCATTTTACAGAGGGTAAGTTTGGACACGTTGATCCTTTCAGGTTCTTCCCATGTAGTCAGTGACTCATCTCTAATACTAAAGATGGGTATGCACAGTGATTTCAGGATTGGGTTTGAGCATTGCAGAGACTGAGAGGATGAGCGAGATAGTGAAGGTTCGATCTATTTTTCACAGGGTCACTATATGGGTCAGAGTAGGTTGGATAACACCTAACAAAACAACATCACAAAATGTGACTCATGAGTCGTATATGGGTCTAACTCACTGTACATTGCTTTACCATTTTAGTAAACTGTATAGCCTTGCTTATTATATGTTTAAAATGATTTAAGAACATTCTTATTAATAATAAAATAACTCATTGCCTTGAACTTTACTCCTTTCAAAATAAATATACATTTGATGAGAATAAATCAGTTTAAATAAGAATTTTTTAAAAAAAATGTAAAATGGATCTTATATTGATATTTCTAATGCAAATGCAAAAATGAGGAGAAAGTATCAAATATAAGACTAAAGATATACCTACTTGTAACAGAGTAAGCCACTATTTTCCTTCATTTTGTTGAACTGTGGTGCTGTGTGCATTGCTGTGATGCTGGGAGATTTGTCACAGTATTTCAGATATGAGTGAACAGAGTTTTTCAGACTTCTCAGTTTAAG